TGGCATTTGTCTTCTTTACATGCTTGTATAGTTTCACTACTTATTTTGACCTCCATAGACATTGCATGACATGGGTGCACAAAGATTCATACACATAAAATAAAAATAAATAAAATATATTTTGAAAAAATATTAGTATGGGACTAGAGAGATATCTTAGTTATAAGACTACACATTGCTTTTCCAGAGAACCAGAGTTTGGTTCTCAGCACTGTTCAGTTGTGAACAGTTCACAACTGCTTGTGATTCTAGCTCCAGGGGATCAGATGTTCTTCTGGTCTGCACTCACATGCACATGCACACACACACACACACACACACACACATACACACAAACACACAAACACACACACACACATAATTAAATATAAAATAGGGGCTGGAGAGATGGCAAAGCACCTAAGAACACTTGCTGTTCTTCTGAGGACCTGCGTTTGATTCTTGGCACCCACAGTGCAGCTAACAACTGTCCTGTACATAACTCCAGGTCCAGGTGATCCAACACCCTTTTCTGGCCTCTGTGAGCATTGCATACACGTGGTACACTTACATACATACAGTCAAAACATTCATACACATAAAATGATAAATTTTTAAAAAATAATAAGCCAGACGTGGTGGCACACGCCTTTAGTCCCAGCACTCGTGAGGCAAAGGCAGGCAGATCTCTGTGAGTTGAAGGCCAGCCTGGTCTACATAGTAAGTTCTAGGCCACCTGGGGCTGCAGGGAGACCCTGTCTCAAAAAGACCAAAATAATAATATAATAATAATAATAATATCTTTAAAATGTGAATACAACAATCTTAAATATATCTCTGAAAATGTCGTTTTCTTCAAACAATTATTTTTTTCTACAATTTTTCTTTTATATGTATGAGTGTATTGCCTGCATGCAAGTGCACCCATGTCATGCAACACCTGTGGAGGTCAGAGGAGGACACTGGGTCCCCTGGAACTGGAGTTACAGATGGTTGTTAGCTGCAGGAGCAAGAGCAGTCAGCGCTCCCAACTGCTAAACCATCTCTCTAGTCCCTCAAACAATTCTTTAATCAGTGAAATTACTTGATAAAATTACCTTAGATGCCAAAAAAAAAAAAAAAATCCTTCTTTGTTGTTTTTCAGGGTTTTTCTGTTTGTTTTTCTTTTTTTGTCTTTTCAAGACAAGGTCTCCCGGTAGGCCCAGCTGGCCTGGAACTCACTATGTAGACCAGTTGGCCTCCAACTCACACAGATCTGCCTGACTCTGCCTCCCGAGTGCTGAGATTAAAGGTGTGTGCCTAATGCCTGGCAAACAAGTTCAGATTTTTGTCTTGCATCTTAGAAGTTCATTCTGTTGGGTAATATCCTGAGTCAGAGGATGGTGATTTAACTACCAACTATGTGCCATTTGACCACAGTTTACAGTCAGGTGGACCTCAAATTACATACTGCATAAGTAGCTTCACTCTAGAAATAATATGCTCAAGTGGAAGTGGCCCAACAAGTCCTCATACTTTGGGGATTTATAGACACTTCTACTGTTAAGGGCATTGATTTGATTCATTTACTGAAATACAAGTTTGAGAGGACTTTGATTCATGTTATGTTTGAAAGGAAGGGTGTGCTGAAAAGTCATGGTTGTGTTGTTATTTTCCTATGACACACGCTGTCGAACGCAACTTCGTTTTATTTTTCCCTTAGACTAGATCCAGCAGATCAAACCAAAAGCTTTATTTCTCTTGGTCTCAAAAATTCCACTTCTTTGGCTAGAGAGATGGCTGAGGGGTTAAAAGCACTGGGAGGATCCAGGTTTGATTCCCAGCACCCACATGGCAGCTAACAACATTCTGTAACTCCAGTTCCAGGGAATCTGACGCACTCTTCTGACCTCCTCCGGCACTGCACAGGTGCACTTACACACATGCAGGCAATACACTCATACACATAAAACAAAATAAAAAATTTAAAAAA